TGTTGTTGAAGGATAGGCATCTTATGTAAATGTAGAGAAAAAAAGACACAATACACTTCTTGTTTAGGTTTATATGTTAAATACTTATTTATGTACAGGAATAGAAAAAACATTTTATTTGACTCTTTGCACATTTTGAAAAGGTGATGTAAAGAAGATTGTGATATTCTTAATCTAATGTTCTTTTTGATGAAGATAAGTGTAAATATCATCTTGGTTGATATACAGTTTGATAAAAAAGCAGAACTAATCAAACACTTTCTCATGCAAAAATAAATGAGTAATTGATTGATTGATTGATTAATGTTTTACGCCGGATCGGCGATATTTCAGTCATATATCGGCGAAAAAAAATAAATAAATGAAAAAAGACTGAAATACAATACATTGGGGATTGAGTTCCTAAAAAATAATTATGTTGAATGTATGCCTCAGAGTCGTTGATATTAGTCATATACTTTTCTTGATCAGTGTACGTTGCATGTCGACAATGAGAACACAGAATATGATATTCTTATATTTAAAAAACATTGAAATGCATCATATTAAATAGTGCAATAATTGTATTCTATCAGGTCCAATGGTTTTAAGGCAGATGTAACTTCTTTTCATCGCAGCTAAGGAGAGGAAATAATAAGGAATATGTAGGCTTAATTATCGTTCAATGTAAGTCTTCTGCATTGCTTAAATTTTCTCAGAAAGACGTGTATTTTCTTTCACTTTCAGCTTAATATTGGGGCTTATCAATCTGTTAATAAAATTAATTATTCTTGTTGGAGAATTTCTTCTCAATCTTATTTTAGGGGAAAAAGACTTTTTTCCTCTTAGAAATATCTTTTATAATAAATACTTGTATGATTAATGGCCAAACACATGCAGAAAAATGATAAATATCCTTCAAAGTCAAGCCTTTTATTTAATTTTCTACATCGAAAAGAAAAAAAATAACATCTTTAATGAAATATTTACTTTAAACTGAAGTAGGGTAAAGAAGAGTCTTTATAATGATTTTTATGTTAAGGAAAAAAACATGCTATTTTACAATTTATATTCACATTTCTTTCTCCGTGTAGAGATTGATGAAATATTGAATTTCACTGTGCATTTGGAATTCATAATATTCTAATATTATTTTTTAATCTCTCATTCGGAACTAAGAACTGCATTCTACTAATAGATATTTAAAATGAATATCAAATGTTTAATCAAAATACTACCTACATTGATTAAGTAGAATGTTGAAAAAGTCATGTCATTTACGAAATAGATATGAAGATTAATAAGATTGTAAGAATTATAACATGAAGAAATTGATTTTGACATTTCTGAATTGTAAATAGTGATTTAAGAGTTCTTTGAATAATTCACACTACATGATTGTAATCTATGTTAGAACATCTATACTTACAGTTCCGATAGTTTTGACAGACCAATAAATGCATTCTCCTGTATGCTGGTTATTCTGTTGTTGGATAGACTTCTTATGAAAATGTAGAGAGAAAAAAACACAGTTAATGCCTTGATCTGGCTTATATGGTCATTTTAGGTCATCTGAGTAAACTCCGTCGTGCGTCGTGTCTATTGATTATATAGTGAAAATGATTTATTTCTTTGATAATCATCTTCTTTGCTCCTGAGTATGAAATAAACTAACCAAGTACATAGTTATGTTGAATAAGGCTGCCTCTTCCAAAATTGTGAATTTCATGGCCCCAAGGTCAGGGGTTCTGGTGTTAGGGTGGGGCTTTATTAACTATATAGTACAAATGCATAAATTCTTTAAAAATCTTCTTTTCTGCTCCTGGGTATTTAACCAATGAACTCTGTACATAGTTATGAGGAGGAAGGATGTCTTTTTAAAATTTGTGAATTTCAGGGCCCCTGGGTCAGGCCTTCTTGTGTTAGGGTAAGGCACTCATGTTTATATAGTAAAATGCATGATTTCTTTGAAAATCTTTTCCTTTGTTCCTGTGTATTATGCCAATGATCTTAGTATATATTTTTTACAAAGAAAGGTGCTTCTTCCTAAAATGGTTAATTTCCTGCCCCTGGGACAGAAGTACTTGTTGGGAGGAGGGGGAGTACAAAGTCTGAAAACAATTTAATGCTTTGAAATCTGCACTTTGGTATTAATCAACAACATGTTAAAATTAAATTTATAATTTCTCCAAAATTTTAAAACATGTGGCCCCAGGGTTAGTGATTCCTTTGGGATGGGGTGCACAGCTAATAGTGTGGAATTGCAATTTTTCTTTGTTACTCTGATCTACCTCTGTGTATTAAGTCAAAAAAGGAAGACTGCTGAGTGTATAATTATGAAAATCAATGGTGCTTCTTTCAAAATTGTGAATTTCATGGCCTTTGGTTTAAAAATGAATCAAATTCAATTGTTGGAAAATTGTCGTAAATTATTCAGGTGACCTATAAGGCCCATATGTCTCTTGTTTATCTATGAAGAGGGAGAATAAAAACATTTTGAAAAGGTCATATTAACAGGTTTGTGCCATCGACTCTCAATTTTATGTTCTCTTTGAAGAACATTAGTGTAATGAAGGATATGGAGATAACGAACAGTATTCAATGTCAAAGTACATAAAATATTTACATGTAAATGTTATTTTCTTTGATGAAATTGGATAAACAAACAGAACGATTAATCATTTCTTAAATCATTTTTCAATATATTTTGTATTTTTCTCATATAAAATTTTGATATTAAATAAAAATATATATTTTTATTCATTTAGTTATTGTAAAAAAAATCAATAATATCTTATTCTTAAATTAATTTTTCTCGAAGTGGAAGACTTTTTAGAAACCTTATGACGCATGCATATGATATCTTTTTCATATTTTTTTTCTTTGTGTTATACTTTAGTCACCAAAAAAGATACATGTTTAAAAAAAATGGACAAAGACATGCATATAGAATAGCAAAGATTTATATAAGGATGGCCTGAAAAAGACTAGAGTCTTTTATTATGCTCATTTTTTAGAAATATGCACGATTTACATTTCTCAGTTTTCAATCATAATAATAATCTGTAAAAGAAGACACAAGTAAAGCCTGCTTTCAGTATACATCTTTGTTGTTAATATTACCCTACGTCTACTTATTTATCTCTCAATCGGAATCCCGGGCCCTATCCTACGAACTACATGTACACTCACTCTTTTTTTGTTTTTCTTAAATTAATGCATGTATTTTATATCAAAACACTTGCATTTCATTGTGCAATATTTCTCGCATCATAGTAAAAAAAGTATTTACTGTTTTAAAGTAACTTGTTCACGTAAGTAATAAATTTAAAAAGAAAATAAGAAAATACAGGTAAAAAAGTAAAATTCTATATAACTTAAACGTTAACTGATTTTGCAATTATTTGGTAGACTGGTGTGATTGACGTCGAAAAGTGTGTTTCTGATGTTATAATAAACTAAAGCTTTTAAAGCAATGGAAAATAAAAATGTTCTTAAAGAAAAATTAATAATAAACAAACGCTCCTGAAATTTAAGGCATAAAAGATTTGAGTTCTTTCAATTATTTTTATTATTTCTTCATATAAATCCTTTATGCCCGTCATATTTTATATAAAACGAGGAAAAAGCGTTAATATTTGGCATTTCGAGATGCCCCCTTTTATAATAAGATAATAACATTTTGTGTTTCTTATATATAATTTACAATATAGTATTACTATTCATGTATTATATTTTGTGCAAATCGGCTATAATTGTAGTATTTGTATAAATTTGCTTTAAAGTGCTTCAAATTGACACGTTCCTATATAATCCTAAAGTAAATGTACCTGTACATTGAGATTGTCCCTTAAAAGCATCCAGGTGATAGATTTCCCTCAAACTTAGCGTGTACACTGAAGTCAATATAAGTTATATATGGTATAAAATTAAAGAGTTTCTGTATTGTAGATTTCACGCAATAAAAACACAAGTCGGCCCCCGTGGTTGATTAAGTCGAATGTTCACATAATCATGTCATACAGGAGATAGTTCAGATAATTTTCAATAAGTGAATTAAACTATACCATGCAGAAATCGAATGAGGATTTTCTAAATTTTACACAGTGATTTATGTTTTTATTAGGTAATTCACAGTAGTTAGAACTTTTGTACTTACAGATACCATACTCTTGAAAGACCATTAAATGCATTCTCCTGTATACCGGTTATTCTGTTGTTGGATAGTAATCTAATGAAATTGTAGAGAAAGAAAAAAAATTATGTTCTTGTTTTGGTTAATATGTTCGAAATTCATCTATTTAGAGGAAGAGTAAAACTATTTTATTTGACTCTAAACATTTTGAAAATGTCATATTTGTGCCATCTATTCTACATTTTGCATTCTTTTTAGCAAAAGAAGTGTATGTGCATGTGGCATCTTTCTTTGATCTACAATTTGATAAACAAGCAAAACTATCAAATACTTTTCTCAAGCAATAATATATGATACGTATAATGATTGTGGAATTAATTCCTAATTATTGATCATTCTATCTGTATTCCCCATAGATTCTATTTTCTTTAAACTTCAGTTTCTTTTTCAGTGTAGATAGATAGATTAAGTGTAGGTATTGAGCATTGTTTTCTCAGAAAATAAAGTATATTATCTTAATTTTCAGCTATATTATAAGACTAAGTAATCTGTTTTTTAAATCGTTTTGCGGTTAGAGTTTTCAAAAACAAAATCTCTATAAGGAATATATTTTTTACAAATTTTTTTTTAATATTATATCTGGCAGTTAGATGCAGAAAAAATGACAATACTTCAAAATGAAGCCTTTTGCTTGATTATTTTACCCTAGGAAGGAAAACTTGGAATCCTTCAATAAAAAAAATACTTTAAACTGAACAAGCTGCAAAACCCGGTAAAGATGAGTCGTTATTTAGCTTATTATGTTGATAAAAATAAGCATACATATGTCACTATTTGCATTTTTTCTTTTCTCCTTCAATGTAGAGATTTATTAAAGAAATAATCATTATTCATAAGTGAGTCGTAATTGCAATTGTACACTATATGTTTCATGAAAAAACAATTTTTATATAAAAAAAAAAAAAGTTGTTGTCGGGTCACTTGTATCTCAATTTTCATAATTTTTGTCACTGAATCATGCAGAATTGTTCAAATTTTCTTTTCTTACAATGCTTAAAATGTTGCACAAATCATTGAGAATAAATCATGAAATTGTCAAGAAAAAAATGTTATCCTCGAATTACTATGCTATTGTATGAAATTATAGTCTTAAATTTTTTTTATTTTGCTCTTGACCTATGATACCACCTCAATGCCTATCGATAAAATTATTTTAAAATTATGCAATAAAACTGCAAAGAAATCGCAATTTATGATGGTTTAGTCATAAAGATAAGCAACAAATAACACTGCAATGATATTTATGAATAATCATTTTTCAATGAAATACTGTGAAATCATTATTTTACTTGGGGGTTTAAATTTCATGGTTTTTCAAGGTATGAAGAGACCCACAAATTTATTACGACCACAAAAATAAAATTTTCACATATGTTACAACTGAACAATTCTTCAACCATGAAATCAAATCCCTATGAACCAATATATTTTCCTCAAACCACAATAATTTGTCCCCTCGAAAATGTGTGATTTTATAGTACATGTATGTGGTCGAAAAATGAAATTATGACTCAGTCATGGCCAGGCACTGTTTAAGTCACAATTTATAATGCTCTCTTCTCCTTCAATGTAGAGATGCATTAAAAAAGAAACACGTGTAGCCATTTTTCAGTGTACAATTTGATATCATACTACATCAGTCTATTTTGTCATCACACAATCGGAAACCCTTTATTAAGAACAATATTCATTTAAATTGTTATTGCGTGGACCCTGAGGTCCACGCAGTAAATATATAAGCGATGTTAAACCGAATGCCATGGGCAAACGACAGGCTACACATGCGCGAGACTGCTGGAGAGTTCGCCCCTTCGGGAACTTGCCCGTAGAATAATTCGCCCTTTTTGAATTAGAATATGCCATTCATTGGCAAATCGCGCTTTTAAATCCGCATATCGTATTTATATATTCATCGGCGGATCCCAATTTCCCTCTTCTACATAAATTGTACTTTTATATACAAACTAAATATTGATTCTATGGCAAAAAACATTTTAAAAAGTAGGAAGAACTTGCAGTATAAATAGATACATGTATCTTAACCATGTTAACAACTTGAATAAAAAAACGTCATTCAATGACTAGTTCTAACTTTTGAAAGATAGAACAAGTTTTCACCGGTATTTGTTTTGTGCAAAAGGCTCGAAAAATAATATGCTATTTCAGCAATCCAAACGATATGACAGAGGTCTGTAGCAACGGTTTTTAATGTGGGGGAGGGGCAACGGGGGCTCCAATCAAAAAAATCTACGTACTACAGAGCTGTGCTACACGTGTCATTGGCGTCGGAAGCAAATTGAAATTGGGGGCGGGGCTTAGTGTGAAAATATATCTATACCTTAAAAAAGGGGGATGGGGGGGTGCGGGGCTAAACCTATACGCACCAATGTTCACTGTCTTTACTAAGTATATATTTCAGAAAAAGGGGGGGGGGGCTAAACCCCTTTTTTCCCACGATAGATTTCTTCCGTATAAATCCAGAACAGGTGTCAAGTCCCAGCAATTATGGTTTATATGAATCAGATTGCCCGATTTTTGAAACAGTCAAAACTAAAGGATAATCGGAGATACTTAACAATTACGAGGGCTGTTCAATAAATAATGTCCTGAACTGTATGACATACAAAGCAGATATCATATGACATTAAACTTGACTTTCTCTCATTATTGAATCTTTAATGAATTTATAACAGTTTATGTGACCACTTTTCATCACATAGTTTCATCGTGAGAAGCTGGGAAACAAGGGCTATTCGAGACACTGCATTATAAATGAATGGTGAAGAATCAGTAAACTAAAGTGAAAAGAAAAGCTTCATTAAAGCTCCTGTAAATCTTGTTAAAAATCCCAAAGAAATATTCACTGAAATATGTGTCATTTACAGCAACCAATGCCTGTTTTATAGACAAATGAGTAGATGGATTTCAATAATAAAAAAAATTATATAATGGGCATCAAAAATGGGTACCGTCCTTGCCAACAAAAATTATAACAAGTGATGTACTGTACGCCAAATTTCAACAAATAATATTTGATGATGTATGATTGACTTCAAGACACATAACAAATTTGATAGACATCATATCGGGAGTACTTTACACTGTTTTTAAAAAACGTTTGACGGTTAAAAAAAAAAGCTTGGTACCCAAAGGTCACCCTATATTTTGAAAAATGAGTGAAAACGACAGCGTGTACGAAAGTCTTAACAATTGTTTTGAAGTATCATTAAATGTAGTTATCCACGTTTGTTTTATATTCAAACAGATATTGGAACATGAATCTATTGCTTAAAACCCTCAAAACAAAATTGACCATAAGATGTACTTGATAAAAATGGCGAAGGTCTTACAAGAGCAAAGGTATGCAAGAGCACAAAGACAGATTTATATGCATTTTTTTTAAATATAAGTGGTATTGTTGTTCAAATTCGTACTAGGTAAGACAGTTTAATTCTGGGGGAGTCTAGAAAGCAATTTTTTTTGCAAAAAAATCGAAAGGTTTATTAGAGGAAGGACCCAGAATGAGGAATGGACTACATTGAATTTCTTCATGACAGCGTCCAAACCCGCATGCTCTGAAGAGTAAAGGGGTTTTCGGGATAAACAGAAAGTTAATGTTTTTTCACATTAACAATATTCGCAAGATCTTTGACCGTTTGACTTTTCTATTTCCAAACTTGAAAAATACACCTTTCAGAGGGAAGAAACAAGTCCAGGAAATTATTGGATCTGCCCTTTTCCAGTATACTAAGGGTCATACCCAAAAATGAGTTCTAAAAACAATCAGAAATTGGATAAAAAATGCTACGGACATGTGTTTTAATAAAAAGAGATTGATAAGTAAAATCATGAAGACTAAATCATTGAAAATCGTCTTTTGCTTCTTTCTGAGCACCGAGGACATTATTTATTGAACAGCCCTCGTATGCTTTGAGACTACAATCAGTCATAAGTAGGCAAATCATTGTAGAAAATGTGAACAAACTTACATGAATATTCACTACAATTAAAAATTTACTTAAATTGGATTTCGGTTAGAACCACATGCATATGGTCCACGTATTGTAGTCATTTTTTAAAGGACAACAACTTCTATATATAATAAAACCACTACCTACATTGAAGACGTGGAATATTGACAAATTCATGTCATTTAAGCTACGTTCAGAACACTAATAGTAAAGGAATTAAAATGGTAACTTGAAGAACACGAATGAGAAATTTATTTCAATCAGTGATTAAAAAAATCTTTAAGTACTTCACACTTCTATACTTACACACTCAATAATCCTGACAGACCATTAAATGCATTCACCTGTATACTGGTTATTCTGTTGTTGGATAGGTACCTAATGTAAACGTAGAGAAGAAAAATACAATTAGGTTCTTGATCTGGATTATATGGTCAATATATATCTATGTAGATGAAGAGACAAACTGTTTTATTTGAATTTGACGTTTTGAAAAGGTCATATGAACAAATTTGTGCCATCCAATCGAAATATTCTTTTCCTTTTTACGAGAGGGACGTTAAACAATATACAATCAATCTTTTCCTTTTTATGAAGATTTGTGTGTGTACTTTGATATACAATTTGATCAGCAAGCAGAAATATCAAAACTTTTCTAGAGCAAAAGGGTATGGTAAATATAATGAATGTGGATCTAATGCCTAAATATCGATCGTGCTATCTGTATGAAGATTAAATTCTATGATTTCTTTTTCACTTATATTTCTGTTGGTGTGTGTAGAATAACAGCTATGATAACATAAAATATGTTATTTTTAAATCAATAAATTAAAATGCATACAATTATAGGAAATAATATAAGATTCTTATTTTATCAAGTCCAGTTAATATATAGCAAAAGTCAGTGTTATCGTTCAGTGTACGATTTCGGCATTGTTTTCTTTGAAATTTACATATATTTTCTTACATTTTCTTTTGTATTATGGGACTAATTAAGTAATCCTTTAAAAATCAATTATTGAATTAACCTGTTTTTAAATTAATTATTTTTGACTTTTTACATAGCCCCTTTAATGTAGAGATACATGAAAGAAATAAGCATACTCCGTCATTTCCTACATCAGTCATTTCTCCTACAATATATAGATTTATCAATTTCAAAGTAGAAACCATTTTTAGTGTTGATTTCATAATATCCTACCTCTATTAAGTCATCACACAGTCGGAAACATGTTATTTAGAACTTTATTCATTTTAAGTGTTAAAGATTAAAAAAATACAACCTAAATTGATGGCATACATTATGGACATTGTAAGAATTATAACATGAAGAACTTAATTTTGACATTTCTGAATTGTAAATAGTGATTAAAGAGTTCTTTAAATAATTTACACTTATCTATGTAAGAACATCGATCTCTATACTTACAGATGCCATAGACCTGACAGACCATTAAATACATTCATCCGTAAAATGGGTATGCTGTTGTTGGATAGGTATCTAATGTAGATGTAGAGAAAAACAGTAAAATTCCGTTCTTGATCTGGATTATATTGTAAATATTTATTTCTGTATAGGAAGAGACAAACTATATATTTTGTGTGTGCTTTGATATACATTTCGATAAACAAGCAAAACACTTTTCTCAAGCAAAAATATATGATAAATAAAATTACTGTGCATTAAATGCCTACACATTGATCATGATATCTGCATGCCCCAAAGATTCTATATTGTTTTACCTCTTTTTCTATTTCTTTTTCACTGTACGCAGAATTATGACTATGATAACATAAAATGTATTTTTAAATCAATAAAATACATCAAAGTAGAGTAGATAATACAAGATTCGTATTCTATTACATCCCATAAATTGATACCTCAAGCGAACAAAGAAAACAAAGTGACCAAGTTTGTTTTGGATGAAATAATAGTGTACTATTTTGGCCTTGTTTTCTCATAATATATAGTATATTTACATTTATTTTATATTTAGTACATTTAGACTCTATTATAGTTCTAAGTTATCTGTGTTTAAAATGAATTATTTTTGGTTGTTATAGATTTTGCAGAAAACTTTTTTAAAGAATACATACGATTTAATTAGATTTTTAACAGTGAAATACTGTAATTTATTCATTGAATAAAATTTGTATTCTTTAACAGTGTGAAAGGATATCAAAATGATAACCTTTCACAGTGTGACAAATATCAGAAGTGTGGTAAAATTCTTGATTTCCCTTCCCATAACAAGGAGTACTGTTAAAAATATTTTTCGCCTGTTAAAAGATGGAATCAAATTAAGAAGCAGTTCTGACAGAAATAAAGACTCTTAAGGATGTATTCTTCTGATACCCGGAAAAAAATGTGCATTTAACTTTCCACAAGCTTTTATTTTTCGGAAAGTATAATATCCAAGGAATAATTTAAAGAGAAGAAAAGTGTATGTTATTGTTCATCTAAGAGAGATTCAACCCCTCCAACATAGGCCAAAAATAGTGCATGGGAAATGTCATTAAAAAAGCTATTAGATCATAAAATACTTCATAAACTTATAAATACAATTAATTTAAACTTGGTTTGGCTTAAATTGACTTGAAAATATTGCAAAGGTAATTTTTAAAGCAAAATATGAGCAAATAAATACCAATTAGATAACTTGTACCCAAAAAAGTTGTTCACCGGTGTCAAATTTATGCAAATTTTTTTCCTATAAAATTGCTCGAAAAACGAGAAAAAAAACATATTTCTACAATTAAATTTTTTGAAAAAATTCTTGTTCAGTTTCTTTAGGTATTATATGGTTCCATATCATAGCATGAAAAATAGGGGTTAGTGTACATATAAGAAAGTTTTGATATTTGTTATATCCCCACCCCTATTTCTTTTTCAGCATTTAATGAAAATAAATCAAGGCATTTTTGCTTCAAAGTATGTGGTTTATTCACCAAATATTCAATATTAGTGTGATAATTTCAGACAATAATTGCAATATTGTCAAGAAAAGGTTTTTATGAACAAAAAGTAATCATTTAACAAATAAAAACTTTATAATAGTTTGTTGGAAGCCCCCCCCCCCTCTCTATTGCCCTGCGGTTTCCGGATTGGGTCCTGGTGTCTGGTGTTGGATGGTAGCTTCCCTGGGATCTGTCATCCAGTCCCACTTTCTCAATCTGATTTGCATGGTTTTCTCCATCTGATTTTAGTAGTTCTTAAACCCTGTTCTCTTCTAAAGTTCTTTATTTGTGATTCTCGTGAAAACAAGACTTACCTGTAAAATTTCATATTAGAAAAAATAGATAATAATTTACTGGTAATATCATTGTTCAAAAATGTAAAATCAATATTTTGTCTATCTGAATGTGTTTTTATGAACCCAAGCCTGTAGTTTAGACTCAAATAATTTCTAATGCTCTATGGTGTTTCAGAAAAAAACATTTTTTAACCCGCATAGGCGGCAATATAATGAAGTGACCTCGTTTCTTACCGAATGTAAACAGCTAAACATTATAGATGTTATCTTATTATTTTCTTACGGTATGTCTATAAATTTAGGATAGATAATATGCATTTACAATATCAATGGAATTTTATCATATACTAAGAGCTAAAGTTGCAATAAAAAAAAAATACAAATGTTGTCGTCTGCACGCATCTGGAGACCCCTTAGGCCTAACGTTACGTACATGTACAACATGTTTATGCTATGTTTGAGTTTGCGATGCGACAGTATACTATGTATTTTGAAACTTTTGTATCTATTATACATAAACATTGCTATTTTCAATAAGTTTAAAAGCATTAAAAACTTACATTTTCGCCTTTTCACTGCAAGCTGACCACTATTTGAACGTCGTCAACACACTTCGGCGCTCTTGGCTTGCATGTTTGGGGACCGCTTTCGAGGATGTACATGTAGTGATATCGGCGATTTTTAATGTGGTCGAAATTTCTGCCGGTTGGTTCTTTAAATGGAGTGCCATTCGGCATTCCTGTCATTTGACTTCTACCCCTCTCGAGTTCACTTGTTATTCTACCGTCGACTTTGATAGGTCTATATCGTAAATATCACAAATTTGCACACGTCTTGGTCATTAATACACCATACAAAGATTTTTTATTTAAGAATTTATATAGTTAAACATGTAAATTATTAAAACTTTAGAAACTTAATTGTAAATTATTACTGTATCAGTATGAATTTTACGACTTCTTTAAGTACGAAGATCCACTTGGGGTAAAACGATCAGAAGAATTCATCCTTAAGTGATTGACTGCTAAGGTTATCCTACATTGATGACGTAGAATGTTGTTATATTAATGTTATTGAGGATACCTTTCAGAATACTCATATTACAAGAATAAAAATGAGAACATGAGGAACATGAATGAGAATTTTTTTTTTTGTTTCAATCAGTGATTAAAGAGATCTTTGAGTGATTCACAGTAGTAAGAACATCTATACTTACAGAGTCGACAGTCTTGACAGACCGTTAAATGCATTCACCTGTATACTGGTTATTCTGTTGTTGGATAGGTCTCTGATGTAAACGTAGAGAAGAAAAATACAATTAGGTTCTTGAACTGGATTATATGGTCAATATTTATCTCTGTAGATGAAGAAACAAACTATTTGTGTGTGCTTTGATCTACATTTTGATAAACAAGCAAAACACTTTTTTCTACCAAAACTTTTTTTTGACTCCACACGTTTTGAAAAAGTCATATGAACATGTTTATGCCATCGATTCCAAATTTTGTCTTGTTTTTTTATGAAAATTAGTGTGTGTGCATGTGGTATATTCTTTGATCTACAATTTGATAAACAAGCAAAACTATCAAACTCTTTTCTCAAGCAAAAAGGTATGATAAATATCATAGTGTATGTAGCATTACAACGATGATAACATGAAGAAGGATCTGGAGATAACGAACAGTATTCAATATCAAAGTCCATAAAACAATATACACTTATTAAATTACTACGAGGTAAACAGTCAAACTGTTGTCCCGAGGTAGTGGGGAAGACTTGGGAAACTGTTGCCCGAGGCCAAAAGGCCGAGGGCTACAGTTTCCCAGATCTTCCCCACTACCGAGGGACAATAGTTTGACTGTTTCATGGAGTAGTCATTAAATAAGTGTTTTATTACCTAACCTATTACATAATCAGCTAAATTTGAATAAAAACACACAAACAATTTAGAAAGAGTTAACAACTTTTTATCCACATACCACTAGTCTATTAATTAGAACACAGAATGTAAAGTTTAAATTAATATTTAATAATTATATTTAATACTTAATAAATTGGTTGTGTGTTTTATTCGAATTTATTTAATTATATAGCAGTTAAATAGTCATGACGTTATCATCAAAACGCTTGAATATCACGATGACGCTTTAAACAGGCAACAGTTCATTCTGTGGACCAGCCAACAGTTAGACTGTTTCATGATCACGCAAAAACATAAAATGAATCGTGAAACAGTTCAAAATGCCTAATTACATTTTTTATAGTAGGTTATGTAATAATACAAAATAGGAGCAGAGCAAACACGGAACTCTGAAACATCAGAGGTTGGATAAGGTGCCATGGGGAAGTGAGTATCCCCTGCTGACCGGTCAAACCCGCCGTGTACTCATTGTCATCATCGTGATATAACGGAAACATCCGTAGTCAATTCAGTGTATAAATAATGGACTAACAATTGGTATGAAAAACATCAGTCAGCATTTGCCTCAATAATAAATTATATTTGCTGACAAGGTCATAGTATCGACCATAGAACTTACAAAATGATGCCTTTAAACAAGACTGCTTATATTTTTGTTTCATCAACTTGCTTCTCATTAATTTACCTCGTTTTAGAAATATGACATTTTTGATTAAACAAAATACATCAAAGTATATTACGCAGGGGTAATAAGGAAGCATACAGAATATTTTACATTGCATAAATCATAATTTGTCGTAAAATTGGTTTAGAGATGTAATTTTACTTTAGAAAATAAATAGAAACATTAACAAAAATTAAATGTTTTTATTTTGTTATGACGTATCTGTCATTATGATTAAAATCTATCACCGATGACGTCGTAATTATGTGTGCATTAGTTATTTTGGAATTGATCATGTCGTGTAAAGAGAATTTGGCATATACAATGATACGTTAGATTGAATTTAAAAGCATATATCGTGAATATTAGATGAAATTCATTTTACAGTAATTATATATAGTAAATAGATATGGAGTTCAGTTGATAAAAAAGGTATGCTAATTCATTTCCATCGATTATATTCCCTTTCGAAGATACTAGTAGTCAGCTATAAACGTATCCCAGTCGACCTTTCCTCTGTCATTCGTGACAAAAATAATGCAACAGAACAACAATAAGCTGGAGATTTCAAAACATCAGATTTATACAGATGAATGGGTTGCCTTCTAAAATACTTGGAAAGTTCTGCTAGAATCTCGGGTTAAGCATGGTTTTTACGAGAAATCGGTTCATGTGTATAAGATTTAAAACATCGGGTAAGGTTTCATATGATTGTGTAGAATAATTATTTTACTGACAGGAAAGTGGGATTTTAGCAGCATTTTTAGACAAAATAGATGTTTTTCGACTCTATTAATTACCTAAAGAAAATATTTAACACTGGGATTTTGTTGATCCGTTAGGTTTTTTTTTATTAAGGAACATTTCGGTATTTTAAAATAGAAGTCAAATGATGCTGTGAGGGTTGCGCAGCGTTAGACACTCTTTTAGCTTTATGCAATACATGTAGTTAATAATAGTTTACAATAATAGATAATAAATGGTTTTGGTAAGTTATCAACCTTAATTTTCTTTAAAAAATCTGATTTTCCCGAGAAATGATTTTATGCGTATTAAACATACCCAAGTAAATAATATAAGAGTTGTCTTCTATCAAGTCCTATAAATTTATAGCACAAGTTAAAAAAATTTTCCATCGCTGATTAAAAGAGAAATAATAAGGTTCGTTTCAAATGAAATTATAGTTCAAAATACGTTTTCGGTATTGTTTTCTTCCAAAATCTTTTTTCTGTTTTTAAAATAAGTAAAGATTTTTGTACCAAAAATACATAGCCATCCAGGACGTCACGCAAGTTTGTTTTGGTCGAAGTCGAGCAGGTGCTTAAAAATCTAGTCCAGGTCCTAATCACTCCCAACTCTTGACAGAGTCCTAAATTTTGACCCCTACCGAACTTCCATACTAGGCACTTCCGGAAAATTTCCTGACTATCTTGCAATACAGCAACATGTCCTCTATTATCCCTGAAAAAATCAGCTTTCTAGCTTGAGTCGTTATTGAGTTCCATAACAGACATAAAAGTCATCAAAATTTCGATCAAAGGGCGATAACTTCCGACCGGAAGTGAATTTCAAACAAACGAAAAAACGTATAAGGTTAAGATAAAAATACCAAGTCTCCGAAAATTTCAAGTAAATCGGTCGAACCATCTCCGAGAAATCTTCTGCACAAAAATTGTAAAGAAAAAGAATGATAACTAGATGAGATCTCGTTGCTAGCAACGAATGGGTCTTCCGTCCAATTCTTGATGAGATGAGATGAGATTTTGATTGAGCTTTTTTTACAATGATTATATTGTAAAGAAAATCGATTATGCCGTTATGTTTTTTTTAGGTATTGAACGTTACATAATCAGAAATTCTAATTCTGGTCCCTCTTGATCCCTAATATGAGGGGTCAGCCCTTTTTTCTTCAAATCATCTTAAAGTTCTCATGCATTTAAACACTTTTTGTTCAAGAAGTGTTCAGAGATTCATTTTCTTTTTCGAGTTATTTGCAAAAGAATTATTTTTATTTTTTAGGGGCCAACCCTTCAACTCCTTAATGGGGATGTTTAGCGAAAAATAAAAGTTTGCATATAGTTCAGAACATTATTTTGAACATCTTTTGTTTAAATTTACTTATTAAAATATTTCCAACTTTTGAGATATAAAGCGTCAAAGATTCAGCATTCCGGCCCCTTTGATCCCTAATTATGTACCATACGATATCAAAATTATAATATATAATTGTAGATGGTTGAGATAAACACCTTTGCTTCAGTAACGTATTACAAAATATTAACTGATAAAGAGTTATCCATTGAGGACTTCTGGCCCCTCTTGGCCCTTAATTTGAGCACCCATGCCAGTCCCCTTTAACGCTCTTAAGAGTTTGAAAACTTTTTGTTCAACAACTATTCAGAGATTCTTCTTTGTTTTCGAGTTATTATCAAAAGAAATATTTAGTGGCCAATCCTCTCCTTAATGGGGACATTTAACGAAAAATGAAAGGTTGCATATTGTTCAAAACATTATTTTGAACATCTTTTCTTCAATACTACTTATCAAAATATTTCTCACTTTCCATAGATAAAGCGTCAAAGACTGAGCATTCTGGCCCCTTGTGGCCCCTAATTATGTACCATACGACATAAAAATCATAATATATAGTTGTAGATTAATGAGATAAACATTTTTGCTTCAGTAATGTATAACAAAATATGGACTGCTAAAGAGTTATCGATTTAAGAATTTTGGCCCCTTTCAGACCCTAATTTGAGTGCCCGGCCCTTTTTTCAGGATTTTACCTTAAAGCTTTTAGGATTTTGCACATATCGTTCAACAAGTGTTCAGAGATTCATTTTCGTTTTCGAGTTTTTTGCAAAAGAAATATTTAGGGGCCAACCCTTCAACTCCTTAATGGGGACGTTTAGTGAAAAATGAAAGGTTGCATATTGTTCAGAACATTATTTTGAACACCTTTTGTTCAATATTACTTATCAAAATATTTCTCACTCTCGAGCTATAAAGCGTCAAAGACTGAGCATTCTGGCCCCTTGTTGCTCCAAATTATGTACCATACGACATGAAAATCATAATATAAAGTTGTAGATGGTTGAGATAAACATTTTTGCTTCAGTAGTGTATAATAAAATATTAACTGCTAAAGAGTTATCGATTGAAGACATTTGTCCCCTTTCAGCCCTTTATGTGATGAGTCAGCACTTTTTTTCGTTGTATCATAAAAAAGATCTTGTCATTTTGCACAAATGTTGTTCAGTATGTTTTAACCAAATAATTTTATTTTAAAAGATATGATGCAAAATGTCTCCAAAAAGCACTCATGATTCGTATCCTAAATTTTGACCCCTACTGAGCTTCCATACTATGCACTTCAGGAAAAAATCCTGACGCAGGTGCAACATGGCAACATGTCCTCTATCATCAATGAAAATTTCAGTGCTCTAGCATAAGCCATTTTTGAGATCAAAAACAGACAAGAAGGTCCTCTAAATTTTAATAAAAGGGCGATAACTCTAGACCGGAAGTACATATCCTTGAAAAAACCCACCGGAATTAACATCAGATATAAGCGCATCAACCCTGAAAATTTGGATAAAATCGAAAGAGCCATCTCTGAGAAATCGCCTGCCCAAATTTTGTAAGAAACAAAAAGAATAACAACTAGATACGATCTCGTTGCGAGCAACGAGTGGGAGTGGGT